GCTCGAGCCTCAGACTGTGAAGCTGTTGGGGGGAAGAGCAGGACGGGCCGAGATGCATCTCGCCCTTTTTCAGAATACGTCAGGTTTGAGACAAAGGAGGGGCTAGCACTTCTCTATGACCCAAGCCCATTGGACAAATGGATTGGCAAGAGCTACAGGTGGGATAGCCGACGCCAGCGCCATGTGGAAACCAACACGGGGGACGTGCTTTCTGCAGAAGACAGCGAGGACTTCCAGCGGTACGTACAGAGGCACAATGAGAGAAGACAGACGGGGAACCAGGCGGACGAACTTGCGAAGCTGGTGGCCACCTACAATCCAGCAGTTGAGGAGGAACTCCGCATATATATTGGCAGGTTCCCGGGGGAAGTTCGACGTCTACTAGCAGAGGGGAAGCAAGTATACAAACCACCGGTGGATAAGCAGCGGCATGGGGGAGTATCCACCCAGACTGCCGAGCTGCGCCACCGGAAGGACGAGACCAAGAAGGACGCGAAGAAGAAGAAGAAGGGGGAGAAAAAAAACAAAGAAGCACAAGAAGGACAAGAAGGACAAAAAAGCCAAGAAGACCAAACACAACGCTCCCAGTGCGGGGGAGATGGTGGCAGAACAGCAGCAACAAGACGATGCCGCAGCAGAGCCTCCGATCCAAGAGGAAGTGGACTGGGGGGAGCGAAGGCGATGACACTGAACCTCAACCCGCATCGCACGCCAAAGCCGATGGGGGGAAAAGTGACAGTGACGGCACGTCGCCGCCTGTGACGCCCCTTCATGCAAACTGGCCTTGGGGAGAACGAGGGCGACCTTCAGACAGGGCAAGCTCCAGCAGTGGGGGAGCACAAAGACCCCGCACGCCAAGCCGCAGCCCACGACGACGAGGGGGACGCAGTGTTACCTTGCAGCCCGGGCCTATGTGGGAGGCGGTACAACAAGTACAGCGACATATGCGGAGGGCCAGAACGCAGTGAAGAACATGCAGCAGTGTGAGACGCGTGAAAATTCAAGGGGGTGAGCGAGTGTTCCATGTGGGGGAAGTTGTTCCTAGTGTACTTGCCCCTTTTTGCAAAACCCACATGAACTTCCGTCTGTGCCCAATGTAACTCCGTGCATACCGGGGGACCCGCACGTACTCGTTACTGCACGTTTTTCTTGTTGCCTTTGTTGCTTCAATGAGTGCGGACCCTCGGAAAACCCATGCCTACAGTAGGGGGACAAAGTACCTTTTTTCGGAACAGTCCAACAGTGTTTCGCTGAGCCTGTGGTGCGAACTCTTTAAACAGGACTAGAGGCATGCACAACCTGTCCTAGTCCTTCTCGGGTAAACTCATTCCTTGAAGCCCGCTCTGGCTTCCTAATCCTTGGCTCTTTTCAACGCACCAACCAGGTAACTTCAGTGATCTTCCAATTCGGGGAACAAGAAGGCGCAATTCGGCTACGTACATACAGTGGAAACCCAACCGGGGGAACAATGCATGTTTTTCCTTCTGCCCTGCTATGCAACCTGGAGGGGATGCAGGCAGGGGGAACGCAAGTTTCTTTAGCTGTTTTTCAGCTTCGGTCGGGACCTTACTTGTTACTGTTTGCTTGTAGTGCGCCCTGCCTGTGAACGAACCTCGGGGGACTTTTCTGCGTTCTTTGTAAAGCCGAGCCCCCTGTGGAAACATCCACCGGGGGAGAGTCAGCCACCCAGCGGACCGCGGGTGCGCGCTCGCGCGCGGAGGATTCAGCTGGAGACCCTAAACCCTAAACCCTCGTCCGTAGCCCTGGCGAAAGAAAGAGAGAGAGAGAGAGCCATTTTGGCTCAAGTCTCGGGAACTGGGGGAACCCACCCCGCCTGGGCCCCCCGGGGCTTGAGCCAT